TAGACATTCCTTGCCGCTTAGGACGGCTCGGAGCAGGCGGAGCAGAGCAGAAGCTAGAGGCTCTGCCAGCGACGAGTCGGCTTTGTCACGCCTCACTGTTATTGCTTGGTTTACGCGCTCTTAAAAATAGTGACTGGGCTATCACATGCTTGCTCTCTGTGTGTCAGTGCTTTGTGGCTTGGTTCTGAAATGTCTAGCAGCTACAACTCCAGGTCTAGCTGTAATTTCCACTGTAACATAACTGCAAGCGTTTGAGCAGTCAGCAGGGATGGAAGGTTTCAGACTCCAGAAGCCTTTCATGCCAGGCATATCTTCTAATTGTTTAGAAAAAGAAGCTATGCATTGTTTGAAGAATCTGAGACCATAGAAAAGCCTTAGACAAAAACATGTATAATTATTAATATTTCAGAAGGGGATAAAACACATTGTCTTTAGGAAGAAGGGAAACTGCAATGTTTGTCTTGAGAATCTGACTGGCAATCTTCATTAGAGCAGAGGCAATTTCTTCTTTCAATTAAAATAAAAAATCATGTCAGATATATATAAAATGAGCTATTTGGGGGGGGTCACGTTTAGTTTTACTCAGGTAAAACCCTCAGCAGTTCAGCTGTGGCTTTACCACATTGGTATTGAGGCCGACTGAAGTCAGGGTCCCAGTTCCTTGGCTTTACTGAGGTTTTGATAAATGATCCCATTCTTTTTCTGTCTCACATTCAAAATAATATAGAAGTTATTCTAGTTTTGGAAAATCCAAATCCAGATTTATTTAATTCTCAAAGATAAGCAGGTGAAAGGACTTCAGATATTTAGGGTTCTTTCAACATTTTTTCCTATCCGTTAGGTATATTTTTCTACCTTTAGTGATAGCTGTGTTCAGCTAATCTTTCAGTTTAACCAAAGCAACAATTTCACAATGTAGTTTTCTTTCTGATTGTGTGCTGTGTAATCAATATACTGATATAATGTGAGTGTAATTTCCTCTCTTATTTTATCTCCACTGCACAGTATTATAAATAAACAGCTAAAAAAGAAAAAAGAAAGAAAAGCACCAAACAAATCTGTTGCATCTTCTTTTAAGATTGTACCACTGTAGACACTTGTTCCAGTAAAGTAGAATTGGACCCACTTGATTGCATTTAAATTTTTCATGCTTCAGCAGTTTGTCTGGGAGCACAGTAAAGAAAACCCCCCGAGCGAGGATAGTTTAGAATAATAGAACTTGATTTTGTGTATTATAGCGGCACCATTTGCGCTGCTGTAGTTAGGGTTGTGTCAGCACTTCCATTATAAACCCCTGTTTGCAGGGGTTATAACTAGGGGGATTTTTTTTTTTAATCAGAAACTTTTTTTAAAAAAAAATCATTTGAGTGAATTTAATTGATAATAAGAGAAAAAAATAAAATAAATTATAATGGAAATTAGTAAATTTCAGCTACCTTTTACAAGCCTTATTTATTATTAATAGTGAATTTTTTTCTCTCACTAGAGATTAGAGCAAATGTATTCTGAATATTTTAACTGTAAAATGATGAAGTTATTATGGTTTAAAATTTGGCTGCTATTCATAATCGTATTTTAACATTGAAACACATTAACACAATAACCTGTTCCCTGGTTTGATGTTATAATACATATAAAGTATCCTAATGGGCTACATTCTTCCCCCTTTGAACTAGTTGAGACCTTACTGGAATTATTGGTTCAGTTCTGCCTTTGGGCCAGGTGGAGCTCCATGTACAGATCTCTCCTGTTTTAAGGAAAAAACAAGCTTGTGGAGAGTAGACACCTTCACGGCGGAGCTGACCGTATGACACCCAGTCACCGAGTTTGTATTTGCGCTGTCTAACTGACCGTACAGCCGGGCCCAGCCAGCGATGAGTGCGTAACCCGGGACCCTCAGAGTAGCTGCGCACCTGAGGTGGGGTGACTTAGTGACTGCGCTGGGAAGGGAAGGTGGAGGCTTTAATCGGATCCTACATCCTAGATCTCTGCCCCTTTTACCCCCAGGTTTGAGATCCGGCAGCCAAAAACCTGAAATGTATCATTAAGTGCTGACCTCTGGCTATAATTACTACAGTAGGCCTTGCGGTTTTAACGAACCTACGGGGGAAAAACAGAGGGGAAACATACCGCTCCAGAGGCTGCCCCGAGGAGGGCCCGTGCCTGGGAGGCCGGCGTGAGCCTGTCTCCGCCGCGGCGCTGGAAAAGCCGCTGCCCATCGTGCTACCAAGGGGCAGCTGGAGCTAGGAAGCGTTTAACCCTGCTCTTGGTCCTTTCTCGGAGTCTGCTGTGGGGAAAAGGTGCTGGATGCGGCTGGAGGTTATTGGCAAGCATGACTCTGTCAATGTAATTTCATTTCAAAGTTGACAGATTCTCCTTTTCCGTAAGTAACTAACTTGCTTAAACAATAGAATATCAATACAGATTTGTATTTGTCTGCGTTTCAAACATCACGAGCAAGAGGAAGGTTTATCAGTATATATGGCAGGAGAAAAGGTGTTCCCACTATCCAGCGTTACCAGTCGATCGCTGTACTGAATGGTCACTTGAGGAAATACCCAAAGCCTGTTTATGAAGTAGAGGTGAAGCCTTTCTAGACTAATTATATTCAGCATGTAATTTCTAAACTTCAGTCTGAATTTTGATTTTCAATTAACATTCCCAATTTGAAGATAATTTTCTATTTAATGTAATTGCAGGAAATAATTTATTGGCTGATTAAGACTGAGGGCCCAGCCTTCCTTAAGAAAACAGTCCCTAACAAACCAGCCTTTAGAGCCAACTCATAGCTTTGGACAGATTCAGCCTATTTTTGCAGCTGCACAGTTGCATTTAATTAGGATTGTGCACTATTATTCATTGGTGCAGTTTGTAGTTGAAATTATTCTTAAGAGACATTTTCATTTTAGTTTTGTGTCATTATTAATTTATAGTGAAGAAACAGCCATAGCTATTGCTTTTCGAAGAAGCTTGTTCAGTCTGAAACAGGAATGAGGTCTGTCGAGAAGGTGAAGGAAAGGAAAATCCTTCAGTGTGACTTTCAATTTTAATGCTTACTTTTAAAATTGCACGTGGTACGTTTACTTATATTTTCATGCGAGTGATTACATTAACATGACTATTTTAATCAGAAAATGGAAAATAAACCTTTCATTTTATCTTGGGTCATAGTAATTATGAACCAGAACCATTTGAAGTGCATACAGTAATGACGGTTAGTGAACTCTTGGCATGTTCTGTGTGCCATCAACATAAATCCTTTCGCGTAGGAAGAATGTAATACGTGGTTTAAATTCCTCAGTTCTGCTTATTGGCAATTTTAATATCAGACTCCCACTTAAACTTAGGTTTCCCTAAAGAAAATGCAACCCTTTTTTCCCTACCAGTATCAAGTTTAAGAGGCAGGATTATCTCTATTTACAGAATAGTGATTCTAAATAGGTATCAGTGTTTTAATATGTTTCAGAGCACTTCAAAGCTTGCAATACTTTTATATAGAACTGTACATAATTAGATTAGCTGATCCTATATTAATTTTTTTCCACTGTAGGATACTAAATCTGAGCTCCCTCATTAATTGTGAGAAATCTAGCATTAGCTGTTAAATCCTACGTGAAACATGGGCTGCTACATAAAAACTACTGTTTAAATTGGAATTAACTTAATTATTTTTCTTTGCACTTGATATTTCCTTCACTGTAATATTCATGAAAGCATGTGACAGATTTGTAAATTTAACTGTTAGTCTTAGATTTCCAGACCCTTTAATCAGTATTTATTTGTCTGTAGAAACAGTACTAGCAAGTTAATGATTTGCTAATTTGAAAAATGCTCATGTGGTTTCCTATGTTAACTGATTTGTGCATTTTTAAAGAAATGGTATGAAATCAATTATTGTTAAAAAGCAATTAAGGTGAAGATCTTATTCCTGAGTTTCTCAGTAATTTCAGTGTCAAGGATATTCTAAAGTTACTGAAAACTGGAAAAATAACTAATATATGTTAGCTGTCTTCTTTCCAGCTTATTAATGATTGTTTTAACAGTTGCAGTTAATCTTATTAGAAATTTTAAACAAAATGTTTTCAGATTTTGAGTTGAAGTCAGTTGTATTTTCATGTAAGTGCAGAAACTGTTTTGAAAGCTGTGTTTGCATATGAGATGGCAGTAAGAAGCCATTATTGGGAAATGACATTTAACATAAATCAATGCACTTATTCATTACACTTTTAAGCCATTTAAAGTAATTTGTTGAGATATATCCTGTATTCAATGCCTAACATAAAATGAAACATAATTATTTTAGATTTTTAATTCAAACTGTAAAAATTAAGCAGATATTAACAGCCAGTCATTCTATAAACCAGTCTGTTTTAGCACACTTTTCACATAAATGTCTCAGAACACTTTCCAAAAGGTAAAACTGGGTAAAATTTTAAACAAGTTAAGAGAAAACAAAGCTTTAAATAAACAGCAAAAGGACTTGTTTAGAATTATTTGAAATTGATTTAACAATACTCATCTCTGTAGAAAACAAACTCTGCTTGCAAGGAGTGAGGTTGGGGAAAGCATGTGGCACCCTCGCATCCAAATATGTGCTTGTAACCTTCAGATTGCTCATAGGAGTAACTGTTTAAAGACTTGGGCTCTCAGGTAAAATCAACCTGAAAATAACACTGAAATCACTATTCTCTCCTGACTGGAGAAAATTATATTGTTCAACGAGTCTCGGTTCTAATAGGATGCCATGACACAACTAAAGCCAGAATTTCACCTGGTGTCACTGAAGACTTTATCTCGATGTTGTGATCCATCCAGGGCTTTGGATCCAGATCCTCCAACACCTTACTTTTTAGTGTATGTTCATTGACTGTGGATGATTAGTTGTAACTGCTGTAGGCGATTGTGTACCTGATATCCAGTGTGTTTTGCGGTCCATTTTGAGCTTGATCTTTTCGTTTAATATTAACATATTCTATTTGTATACTTTTCTTGTTTTGTAGAAGAATGTCTTCCAAGCAGGCTACCTCTCCATTTGCATGTGCAGCTGATGGAGAGGAAACAATGACCCAGGACTTAGCATCACGAGACAAGGAGGAGGGCAACAGTGATCAGCATGCGACCTCTCATCTGCCTCTACATAATGTAATGCACAACAAACCTCACTCTGAGGAGCTATCAACTCTGGTCACAACCATCCAACAAGATGCTGAATGGGATGGGGTCATCTCAGCCCAACACAGAATGGTGAGTTTCACAGGTCCCAAAGCAGCTTTCTAAATCAGTATCAGAAAAGATTGTTCACTTCCATTTTGAAAGATATGTTCAGTACAGTCCTTCTCAGGTGCAAAGCTTTTTACATGGTGAGATGTCAGCATTAGCAATAGATCAACATAAATATGATGTAATTGTAAATTACAGTTGTATGATCTTGTTAAGCATACAGGTCTATACGCATGAGGTCATATGATGAGTTCACCTTCGGAAAGGAAATGCATCTATTTATCATGTTTTCATTCATACCCTGATTTATGTCATAACCTTTCTAGCTCATATGTTCAAGCATTAATTTCAGACAGGAGGATGTAGCTTACAACTATTTGTCATCTGCAAAGTGCTGGGCTGAAGGAGGAGAGTTTAATGTATTTTTTTTAACTTGCCTCTCCTAAATAGAACCCACCAAATCTAGAATATTGTAGCTTCACACTACAACAAAGAAGGTGGCATTTTAGGTGACACAAAGATCCTGCTGTATTTACATAAAATTACAGCTTATTTTGGTGAAGGGAAAAGGTTTTTATGAGTAACTGTCTCACACTCTTCTGTTTTAGATCCCCAGTTTGCATATAGGTGAGGTTTACAAAGATCAGAATTATTATCTGTATTCTTTTCAGTTAGCCCAAACAAAATTATTTTACAACTGTAATTCTGTCCCTTTGCATCCCCCAATCTCTGCTATAAATGGACCGACTGAATGAAGACTGAATGGGCATAGCATCTTAGTCAATTTATTTTCCTTATACGTGTTCCTGGGGAACAGAATTAAGGCACATGGAGCAACCAGACGCTCTATAAATTTAGAACACCGTAATTCCAGACTCTCCACAAAGTGACTTTCACAGACATTAAATTCACACAGTTAGTTTGAGAAGAATACCCTGTCTTTTCCTAAAATTTCTTTTGTTTTTTAATTAATGTCTAAGACTAGATTTTTTTCAGGAAGTATAGATTTTTTTTCAGTAAGAATTAGAACTTTTTAATATGGTAAAAAATAGCAATTGTAGAAATTTTTGACAACTCTTAACAATAAATATGTATGTTACTAGATGCATACTAATGTTGTAAGTTGTAAATATGGCATCTATGCCGAATTTCCTGTTGAAACTTATTTTTGGATGGAGAGTAAACGTTTCACCCAAGTCATGCAATAACAAGTATATCATAATAATTTTAATTTAGTTCTATGCTACCAAGAGGGAAACCAGAATGCAGAATAGAAAGGCCTGATCAAATCTGTTGATGACAAAATAAATCTGTGAATTCATCAGCCACTTTCCTATTCATTCAGTGAGGCATGTGCACTCTGGGTATTTCAGGGTCAGGACAATAAACATTGATAAGATGATGCTGTGTCCCAGAGAGAAAGGAACTCGTAACCCAGAAGAGTCTCCCAGAGCATATGTTTTTGTTTCAGGCTGTTTCTTGGAGCTGGAGTAGTACTCGAGCCCAAGTGACAGAACCTCCTGCAGGGTGATCAGTTGTGATGTTCGCATTGCTCCGGAGTGACCTTACCCCTGCAGCAGAAGAGTGCAATCTCCATTTTCTTAATGCCACACTATCCTGTCAATGCTTGCTGTACTGCTGGACAGCCATGAACCAATCTCCAGCTTATCATGTTTCAGAACAGGTGCATGAACTTTGCTTGAGTGACTTAGCACTCTGCTTTTCCTCCCTCCTTTCTTCAGTAAATCCTCCATCATATATCTGCGTGAATCTCCTGAAAGTCGTTAGTGGTTTCCATGATTCCCGTTGGTCAAATTTGGTGGTGTTTGTGTGCCATCCTTACTTAGGTGGCATTCAGGTAAACCAAGCAGATTTCTTTGCCCAGCTGAAAGCTGGGTATAATTTACAAGTTTCAGCTAGAAGTGGAAACTGAGGTTCTAAGGCATGCTCTTCGGCTGAGCTTAGAAGAGAACTAACCTGCAAGGTTTAGCAAGGTCCTAAATAATTTAAAATTGCATGAGGCAGGGTCCCAGTTTATGTACTGTAAAAATGGCAGTTTACGTGACTAGTTAAAGTGGTGAAAAAAATTTTTTTCTTGAGGGACTGTCATTTGGATTGTTTTTTTTTCTTATTTGTGTCCTTCATGAGAAACCCTTTCAGCTCCAATTAAGTTTCTTTGAAACACCTCAGTACTGTCAGGAAAGAATTCAGAGAGGCCTGAAGTCTTCCTGCTTAAGGCAATTTTTTAGTCCTTTAAGGGAGGATAGGAGTTTCATTGCAGAAAGAGAAATTGTGGAAGGAGGGCTGGACAATTCTGAGATAGGTGCTTTAGTAGTGACCACTCTTCTTCTTAATAAAACCAAACTCCCAGAAGGCAAGCGCTTTCTGACCTTTCACAGACGGATCCTTTCAAAGCAGATTTGAAGAAGCACCTGCTCATACCATTTACACTGACAATAAAGACAGTGCTGCTGTCATTAAAATGCATCAATAATGTGCGTTGTCCAGTTATAAGATAGTAAATTCAAAGAGTTCTGTGCTGACATATGCGTAGGAACAATTTTGTTTTTTAAGCAGTACCTCATTAAGGGCACAATCCTGCATCCTTTGCACCCTTAAAACTACTGAAGAGTTCACTGGAATTTGTGAGAGCGCACAGTATGCATCGAAACATGCTATGAGGGCTGTGTGGATCTTAGACAAAAAAAGATATTGTATTAGGAAAATTTGGCTAAGAAATTATTGAGGTTTTCCCCAGCATTTATTGTATGCAGCACTTTCTGTGATATAAGATACCTTTAAACTACATTGTGTATTATCATAAAAACAACACACTGGCTAGAAATGTTTTCAAACTTTCACTCCCTTTTGATATCAGGCATTGCTTTCCACTGAGTCCTTTGTGTATTCTGAATGTCTGGAAGCCAAAATATTTTGTTTTAACTCCCACTCTATAGTATTTCCCAGCTGTGTACTTATATGGTGTAATAAAAGGATTTAACAAATGGGAAATAGCAGCTGCATTTGGAAATTCCCTTTGTGCTCCCTTTTCATTTGACAGATTCAGCAATGTGTAACAACTGTAACGTCAGACCTGTAATGACTTACACTGCGAGTATCGTATCACCAGCCAATTTGATGTTACAGTAGGGAAAAAATAAAGCCGCAGAAGGATTTGGGCCTGTAATTTTGTATTGCTGAGCTGGAAAGATTATCAGTATATTTCTAGCTATAACTTAAAATAAAAATACCTGGGCGCTTGGGTATTTATTGCTGCTTGTGCTTCTGCTAGAAAATAAATACTAGTTTAGGCCAAGGAATTAAATTTTTGCTGCAATAAACTTAGGGAAGAGGGGAAAGTGGTACTAAGATAAGGGTTAGGAAACGATCCTGCCTTCTCTCATGTACAATGATTAGCAGGCAGGAAATACCACAACCTGACTCTCGTGGGGCATCAGACAGAGAGGGTGAGGAGGGATGAGAAAAAGCCAACAGAGTTTATTTTTGCTAAGTTTAAAAGCAACTACGTTTTTTGTCCCAAAAATGATTTTGCTGGTACCTGTGTAAAGTAAGGGAGACTCATGATTTGTGGTTCATTCCCTGGAGTGCCAGGAAGCAATCACCTCCTGTCCCCATCTTCATCAACAGCCCTGCACAGTTTGTGAGGCAAATTATAAAGGTTTTCTGTTTTTGCTTTGAAGTATTAGGGGAAAGCAGTGCCAGGAGCAAGCTACAAGATGAGGGAAACAAGTGGCCTGCTCTGCTTTGGCGAAGTGGCTGGTGTCTTCCCATGCTTCTAAAGGCTAGACTCGGGCCTTTGTTGGAACAATAAATTTCAGCAGCTTTAACCTAAGGAAATCTGGAATCTTTCTCCGCATGACAGAATTATTTTTTTCTGAAATAATAAAAAGAAAAGAGAGGCAAATTCTGTTCTGATCCTCCAACTCCATATATAACAATTTGGTATCAGATAAGGTCCCTGAAGAGCTCAGAAGCGTTGTGAGGAGCACTGTATATCCATGAGTGGGAGAAGCTCTTTTCTTTTCCCACTGACATTCCTCCTCTGCCCCTGCAGTCAGGGTACCGCAGGGGGCTTACAGGCAATGTGTGCATGCCCAAGGTAGAGGGCACCCACATCTTTTTGCTCCACCTTTACTTGAAGCGATGCAGTAAGAGACTGTTACAGGGAACCACAGCAGCAAATAGGGTCTAAAGGATGCCCTGTGAGCAAGGAAAGACCAACACTCTGTGAGTATCCAAGTTGACTGCCTCCAAATATATGCTACGTTTCCCCTTGTATGATTTGTGACTTCTTTCAGAGACCCTCTGAGTTTAGAATCAAAATTTATCTTACTGGATTTTATGCCAAATGGGAACATTGCCGTGTACTTCATAATTATGTCGTGTCTCTGTCTATTGTTGACCTCTTGCCAAAAGAGTGAAAGCCTTGCTGCCTTTCCCTGCTCTC